AGAGAGAGAGAAAGAATTTATAAAAAAAAATAATAAATTTAAATTTAAAAAAGAAAAATTTTAAACAAAGTGAATTTATATATGTTGATATGAAGAATATTCCAAATTATGGGGCACTTGGGTGGCTCAGTTGGTTAGGCATCCAACTCTTGATTTCAACTCAGGTGATGATCCCAGGGTCATGGGATCAAGCCCCATGTTGGGTTCTGTGCTGAGTGTAGCACCTGCTTAGGATTCTCTCTCTCTTTCTCTCACTCTGCCCCTCTCCCCCACAGGGAGGCTCTCTCTCTCGAATAAAAATAAAAAATAAATTTTTAAGAGAATACTCCAAATTATGTTAAATAAAAAATATTGGTTGCATATTTATATTAAATACCTATGAAACATACCTACCAAATACATATTTATGTAACATATGCATATTAAATATAACATTTATTTAAAACATATGTATTAAATAAAAATTATATTAAATATTTTTATAAATATACTTATATTAAAACTTAATATAAATATGCATCTATTTACATTAAAATATTTGTATGTACATCTCTGCAAAGAACACAAAGAGTTAAAGCACAGGGGTAGAAGGGCAATTTACTTTGCATTAGATTCATTTATATCTTTTCATTTTACTCCACATATTTCTACCACCTATTTAAACAAATTTTAAAACTATATATAGCCTAATACATAATGCATACATAATATAATGCAATACATAATACATAACAATGTATAGTAGTCCTCCCTTATCTGTGGTTTCACCTTTCCATGAACAGCCACAACCTGGAAGCAGATGATCTCCTAATGTGTGGTCACAAGATCAACAGTAGCCTATGACTAGGTCACAGTGCCTAAATCATTCACCTTGCTTCATCTTATCACATAGGCATTTTATCATGTTACATTATCATAAGAAGGATGAGTATAGGATCATAAGATGATTTGAAAGAGATCACGTTCACATAACTTTTTTTATAGTATATTATTATAATTATTCTATTATTACCTATTGTTAATCTCTTACTATGCCTAATTTATAAATTAAACTTTATCATAGACATATATGTTTAGGAAAAAACACATTATATATAGGGTTTGGTACTATCTGCAATTTCAGCCATCCACCGGGGGACCTAGAACGCATCTCCTGTGGACACGGGGGACAAGAATACTGTATAACATAACTGTATTTTTGAAAGGCAAAAACTTACATATGCCTAGAAAAAATCTTGTAGCTTATACCAACTTAACAGTGATTGCATCTGGAGGATAGAATTTAGGGGCCTTTTACTTTCTCCATGATGTATTTCCATAATGTTTCAATTTTTCACAATGAGTACATATTACCTGTGTGATGCAAAATATGCAAAAATAAAAAAAAAATCTTTGCGATAGATAAATGCCAACCTTCTCTTCGGCTTAATAAAATATTTACCTTTTGATTCCCTATTTAAGTTTCTAATATAAACAGGGTTTTTCTTTCCAATGTTAAAGGAAGGATTTTTGTTATGTTGCAGGGTTTTTTTTAAGTTTATTTACTTTTGAGAGAAAGAGAGAAGGAGAGAGAGGGAGTGCAAGTGGGGGAAGGGAAGGTAGAGAGGGAGATGGAGGACCCACAGTGGGCTCCTCTTTGTCAGCACAGAGCCTGACTCAGGGCTCGAACTCCTGAACTGTGAGATCATGACCTGAGCCAAAGTTGGATGCTTAACCGACTGAGCCACCCAGGTGCCCTGTTTTGTGTGTGTGTGTGTGTTTTAATGACAAACACGGGTTCTTTTTCTTAGCAAGAGATTTTTTTTCAATAGCCAGGAAGATAATCAACTAGATATTCTTCTCTACTCATCATAAATTCTGTTTTAACTTTTCTTCCTAACTACTCTTCTTATGTAATCATTTGTTCCTGAGTAATACTGCATATTAAAAGAATTTTCATTGAGGGGTGCCTGGGTGGCTCAGTCGGTTGAGCATCCAACTCTTGATTTTGCCTCAGGTTATAATCCAAGAGTTGTGGGATCAAGCCTGGCGTGTGGCTCCTCACTGAACGTGGAACCTGCTTAAGATCCTCTCCCCCTCTCTCACTTCCCCTCTCTCTCACACACTCTCTCTCTAAAATTAAAAAAAAAAAGTTAAGAATTTTCACCTAAAGGGACTTGGAGTTATGTTTTTCTCATCATATCTCAAATATTCTGAAAATTTTTTGCTCTGACTTGCATTTAAAACATTTTATAGTCAAGGAACAAATAGGGAGAGTTGCCAGTCCAAAGATGTATTTTGTTTTTCTATCTTGAGAAATATAGATTATAAATAGGGTCTAAAGGAAAACATATCACCATAGCAAAGTTTTTCTTTTAAGAAACAAATGAAAAAATTTGTTTTCAGGTGACAGAGTTAAAACTTACTAACTTACTAAGGCTCTGCAGTTTCTAGAAGTTTCCTTAAAAATAAGGTAAACTAGGGGCGCCCAGGTGGCTCAATCGGTTAGGCATTTGACTTCACCTCAGGTCATGATCTCTCAGTTCATGAATTAGAGCCCCACATAAGGCTCTGGGCTGACAGCTCAGAGCCTGGAGCCTGCTTCAGATTCTGTGTCTCCCTCTCTTTCTGCCCCTCCCTCCGCTCGCACTCTGTCTCTCTCTGTCTCAAAAATAAACATTAAAAACATTAAAAAAAAATAAAGTAAACTAAAAGTACATTTAGTCATAAACAGTAAGAAAAAAGTCTCTACCTGTTAGCCCATTGGGCCTGGAGCTACAAACTACTAATCTATGCTTTCTTCAACCTAGACATATTTATCTCAGGACAGCATCTGAGCAGAGGGTGCAACAGTAATATATACTAGTGGGCTTGGAGCTAAGAGAAAGCCACAATGTCTGAAGGCCACTGGCAAGGAATTCTTGTTCTTCTACTAACAGAAGAACTGTTTGGAAGAAGATTGTTGAAAACAGACAAAAAGAACTACAGAGAGGAAAACATGAAGAGGGTTAGAATGCAACAGTCCAGAACAATTTAAAAGGAACAGGACAAGATAGCAAACTCCTTTGAGAATGGACTCCCATATCCTTTTTCTTTCCTTATCTTTGTTCTTTTCTAACTTGTTTTTCTCAACTGTTCCAATCTTGCCCAACTGTGCCTAGTTGTAAAAAAAAAATCAAGATCTGACCTACATCTCAATAGTGTCCACCTCTGCTGTATCTTTCTATTATGGAATCTCCTCCTTCCAGGGGAAGGCTTTATCTCAATTCCAGAGCCATCTGCCATAGTCGGGATTCTAAAGTGACTCAGAGCCAGAAAATGGTTGAAAATCCTCTGACCTACTAAAAGAAAGAAAGAACTATAAAAAGGGCTATATTCACTTACCACGAACCTGCTTTTTTATTTCTTTGGCAGAATCCAGCCATGTCTGTAAAAAGAAGAAAAGTCATTCACAAAGAGCTCCAAAAACACATAAACCACAGAGTACCAGAGCAGGGTTACTGACTGTCATCGAACAGAGTCTCCAGGTCAACCTACATGTCTGATATTAACTTCACACAGGATAGTAAATCTGAGCAGAGAAATAGGGAGCCAGACAGTTAGGCCTGAATCCTAGCTCCACTATTAGCTAGCTGAGTGATTTGAGGCATCTATTCATCTCAGTTTCCTCACCTACTAGAGGAAATTTAGATGAGATACCAGAAGTAGAGCCTATCTCAGAGACATATGATGAAGATTAAATGAGTTCATGTATATAAAGCCTTAAGTAAACAAGAAATGCTAAATGAGCACTTGTTATTTTATCATTCTATAAAGAGTAGTAGGGATCTGTAACCAAGACTGGTTAACATCACCCACATCTTATTTTTCCCTCCAGTTCTGACCTCCAATCTCATTTAAGTTTTCTTTAAAAAAATTTTTTTTAATGTTTATTTTTGAGAGAGAGAGAAAGAGACAGAGCATGAGCTGGGGACGGGTAGGGAGAGAGGGAAACATACAATCTGAAGCAGGCTCCAGGTTCTGAGCTGTCAGCACAGAGCCTGATTTGGGGCTTGAACTCATAAACTGAGATCATGACCTGAGCCAAAGTCAGATGCTTAACCAACTGACCCACCCCAGGCGCCCATCTCATTTAAGGTTTCTATGTCAGCACAGCTTCTGGTACATGGTTCATGCTCAGTTAATATTTACTGGATGAATGGTTATGTTGTTTTCTCTGACTACTCTTGCCCACACTAATCTCTCCTTTTACTGTTCTCCAAGTCCACTTACGGTCTATACGCCATTTGGGCAAGGTTCTTCCACTTGTGGTGGACCGTGCAAAATAATGGCACTTGGAAAGAGCCTCACCATTAACATCTTCCATAGGCTCCTTGGAAATGTTTAAAGAGAAACTTCTAAATTAAATTGTTTAAAATATTTTTATTGATATGAAACATACAAAAAAGTACCTAAAACATAAGTGTATAAATCAATAAATTCTCAAAGTGAACACATAAGCTCAACATTATTAGTACCCAGGAGCCCCTCTCATGACTCCTCCCAATCCCTCCCCATTCTCTCCTCCAAAAGACTTAAAACTGAATTTCAGTGATATTTAGAAAAGAAGAGTAAAAGTGTCCCCTCCTCACCCTCTATCCACAAAGACAAAAGGCACAAGAAATGGCCCTACCCAAGAAATGAACTTGAAAACCAGTCTTATATTTGATTATATACTACTTTAACTGTTAAATAAAGATAATTATCACAACAGACAATAAGCATAAGAGTGAGGATTAATTTCCTTTTCTTTCCCCTTCTCCCACAATTAACATAGAAAATTAAGAAATATGTGTTAAAAATATACCACTTAACGGGCACCTGGGTGGCTCAGTCGGTTGAGCATCCGACTTCAGCCCAGGTCAGATCTCATGGCTCGTGAGTTTGAGCCCCACATCGGGCTCTGTGCTGGCAGCACAGAGCCTAGACCCTGCTTTGGATTCTGTGTCTCTGTCTCTCTCTGCCCCTCCTCTGCAAATGCTCTCCCTCTCTCTCTCTCTCAAAAATAAACATGAAAAAAAATTTTAAATACCACTTAATATAAAACTGTTCCTTAGAATAAAAACTAGATACATACTTGTTTAAGCCCTGTCAGAAAAGCAGTAACCCTCATCTCTCATTATGATTTAAGAACTTTAAAGTTGTTGTAGGTCCAAAAGCAAAGGAAAACTGTAAAAGCACCATTTAGGAAGTTTTGTGGAACCTCTGAGAATCATTTTTTAAATTATTTTTTTTTACATTTATTTCTTTTTGAGAGACAGAGAGAAACAGAGCACAAGCGGGGGAGGGGCAGAGACAGAGGGAAACATAGAATCTGAAACAGGCTCCAGGCTCTGAGCTGTCAGCACAGAGCCCGATGCAGGGCTCGAACTCACAAACCGTGAGATCATGACCTGAGCCGAAGTGGACTCCCAACCAACTGAGCCACCCAGGTACCCCCAGAGAATCATTTTTTTTTTAATGTTTATTTATTTATTTTGAGAGAGAGAGAAAGGGGGAGCAATCACAGAGAAGGAGCAGAGAGTGAGGGAGAAAGAAAATCCCAAGTAGGCTACTCACTACTTGGAGAGAGCCCTATGCAGCGCTTGATCTCACAAACCATGAGATCATGACCTGAGCCAAAGTTAAAAGTCAGATGCTTAACCAACTGAGCTATCCAGCTGACCCAAGAATCATCATTTATACCATGCAATCCAGAACTCTTAACAAAGACTACTTTTTACCACTTTGGAACGAACATCTCCCACCATTATGAGGCAACTCTATATTTTCCACTATTTTTCAGAGAAATCTCCCAAGGTAACCTGAAGATGCCAAGTTTCTTACAGAGACTGTACAGTCATTCTAGAACTCTGGAGCTAGAATTCCCACCAATTTGACATAAAGAGGGCAAACCCAGATTTGTGTCAATCACATATGACTCCAAGTAAATGACCTTATAGAATAAATCATCGCTTCAGTATCTAGACGTCCAAATCAAAATCAAAAACAATGTGTACAAAATAATAAAAATCAATGTATATAAGAATTGGCACTTTTATGTTCAATTTAAATGATTCCATTTACAGCATTTTATTTAGCCAACAAATACCTGAGGAATACCCCCATGTGCTAGCCACTGTAGTTTCAAAAAAAGGATTTAAAAATAGCACTTGTCCTCACAGAGCTAGTCTAACGGAAGAGGTGAATAGCAAACAATTGATTTGTTTGTTCTAGGTGTGAAAATGACTATGACAGAAATGTGTGAGAGTGCTATGAGAGAGCATAGAGTGTTCTAGGAGCACAGAGGAGGTGCACCAAGATGAACTGGGGTAAGAGGCAGGAAATGTTTCTCAAAGGAGTATTTGGGAGTACTAAACTGTATCTTAAGGGACAAACAAGAATTAGCCAGGCTAAACAGAAGATGAAGTAAATAAAAAGGCACAGGGTATAAGAGAACAGGATACATTTGAGTTGCTACATGCAGTCGAGCATAGCTAGAACACAGAGGTGAGGAGGGGAGATACACAATGCAAGAGAATGGTTAAGGGTCAGATCATGGGGGACGCAGTATTCCACAGTAAGAAACTTGGACTTTATCAAGTGCCAGGCAAAGGGGAGCCATTGAAGGATTTAAAGTAAAGGAGAGACATAAATTAGAGGAAGCATGACTGTAGACAGGGAGACCAAATAAGAGGTGGTTTCTGAGAATGATAATTGTGGTACAGAAGAGAATAATGATCATGGGTACTGGCTTTGAAGTCAGACAGTCTTGAGTTCTAATCCTGTCGCAACCTATCATTTATTTACTAGCTATGTAACCTTATCTAAGATCATCTAAATCTCAATTTTCTCATACACAAAACTGGGATAAAACTACCCTCCTGACAGAGTTATTATGGATTAAATTATTTGGTGTATTTAAAAAGCACATAACCAGCACTCAATAAAGTGTGCTGATATTGACAATCAAAAGGGTTTGATAGGATGACTACGGGTCAGAGAAAAAAGATGTTTAGGAGCTTGAATGTATGAGAAGGTGGGGTACAGGGGGAATGATTTGAGTTGGTAAGTTATAAAGTTAAAGGATAATTCCCAAGTTGCCACCTTAGGGAACTGGGAGGAGTAGTACTATTCACTGAAATAGGAAATGTAGGATATAAAAAAGAAATCGATTTTCTTGAAGAAGAAGAAAAAAATAGCAAAAAAAAAAAAAAAAAAAAAAAACTGGAAACAACTCAAATGTCCATCAATAGTGGAATAAATAAATTGTGGAATATTTTGTAGATATATTTTTGAGGCATCTTTGGAAATCCACATGAAATATTTCAATAGACAGCTGGATAAACAGGTCCTGACACTCAGTAGAGAGATTTGGGCCAGAAATACAAATCTGGGCACTTTTCCCATATAGGTGATAGATAAAACCATGAAAGAAGACAAAAATCACAGAGGAGTGAAAAGAAAGACACTAAGGACAGACCTTTGGGGAACACTTGCATTTAAGGGATGGAGAAAGGGCAAAGAGCTGAGAAATAAACTGAGAAGGGGTGAGCAAAGTGGCAGGAGGAAAACAGGAGAGACTGGTATCATAGAATCTAAAGGAATAGAAAGCTTCAAGGATGGGCGGACAAGATCATCCATGCTACAAAATGGACAGGAAACATAAGGATGAAAAACTCAGATTTATCTTGGCAAGAGTAGTTGCAGCTGAGTGATAAGAGTAGAAATCCAAATGCAGTACCTCATACTAAGTGCAGGTGAGGATGTGGCACAGCTGGAACTCATTCAGGGCTCGTAGAGTGTCAACTGGTAACACCACTTTGGAAAACTGTCTGATACTATCCACTAAAGCTGAACATATTCGTTCTTTATAACCCAGCAATTCCACTTTAGGAATACACCCAACAGAAATGTATGTGACAAGATGTGCACTAACACACATGTACAAGAATGCTCCTAGCAGCAGTATTCTTGAAAGCTCAAACTATATACAAGCCAAACATCCATCAACCGTAGAATACAAAGTGTGGTACAAACGATGAACTTTTATACAGAAATGAGAATGAATGAGCTACTGCTACTCACAACATGGATGAATCTCAAAAACACAATACCGAACAAAATAAAAGAAATCAGACCTAAGAGAACACATGTATGATTTCATTTATGCAACACAGTTTAAAAACAGGTAAAACTAACTCATGGTGATAGATGTTAGGAAGACACCTGTTACTTTTAATGGGGGGTAAGGTAGGGGTAATGATTGTTAGGGGATGGAGGTAGTGACTTAGAAGGGGACGAAAAGGGATTCTGGAGTCTGGTAATCTAGGGGTGTTTATCCAAATGTGTTCCCTTTGTAAAAATTCTTTGAAATATGCATGCGTGATTTGTGCACCTCCCTGTATT